TGGCTGCGTTCAAAGGTGTTCAGATCCATGCCTGCAGCCGTTCATACCCCCGCCCCAGCCCCTCCATTTCAAGCAGGGACCCTCTTCTCTGTGAATATGAGGAAACATCCTTTCTCCGATTTACCGATAATCAGCTGAGGGAAAAAAAGCAATCTTCCTCCTTATAACTTATATCCCACCAGTGCATGTCTAAACATTAGTTAGCTAAAGTTAAACATGTTGGAGATTTTACATGGTGCAAAAGTGTATTTAGCGAGAAAGAAGTTAATAAGGAGATTGACATTTATATAAAAGATGTCTGGAGACTCGTCCATGAAAGAAAAAAATCTTTATACAGGAAGTTAACATGGCAACGGCAAAGCTATGTTTACCATAGAGCCAGCATGGTGTTTTCATCAAGAAGAGTAAATACAAGAGAAGTGGAAATGTTGACACCCGTCACAAATAGAGTCTACTGAACAGAAGGCATCTTCTTAAATTAAGCATCTGGATGCAAAGGTAGGTCAGAGTGCAGAGTCCTGGCACTCTCTCTAGTGCCTTGTGGTCAAGAGGATGATTACAATGTTGAGTCTTCCAAGAAAGGCCACATTCAGCGCGCAGTATGGACAAATGCTCAGCATCCGAGCTTGTTCCAAGTAGCCAGTGGTAGCGAACTCTTGCAAGACCTTTCCTGTCCTCTCCTTGATCTGCTCCAAGGACATCACATTCTCTCCCCTTGTCCTCACCAGCCAGTTGTTTGTTGCAATCTTCCATCCACCACCAGCAGATTATACTCAACAGCTCAGCACTGTAGTCTTTTCAATTCCCTTTACACACTCAGTGCATTCATCCAGATCACCCTTTGTACATCTTTCTATGTGATAAATCCCACTGCTTCTAGGCACTTTTTATACTCCAGGCTTTATATGGTTTTATCCTTCCATGGGTATAAAGTGAATGATTGTGTGCAAATCCCTTCTGCGCTCAAGACATTTACATGGTTCTCCCCAGTATGTGTTCTCCCACAGGAATTATGGTCACCTCTGGTTCTGAAGCTCTTCCACCGCATCTTGCACATATATGGTTTCCCTCCTGCATGGATCCTTCAGTGAGAAGGCTATTTATCACCTAGAAGCTCCATTAAGATTCCCTTCATTTACAAGGTTCTACCCTTCATGTCTTTTTATGGAAAGGTTGCCACTGCTTCAGAAACACTTTCCACACTCAATGTATTTATATGGTTTCTTCCAAGCAAATCATTTTATGTGAATAAGCAAAGAAGAGTCACCAAAGCACTCTGCAACCTTGAGACATTTATACAGTTTCTCCTGTGAGCAAATCCCTTTACAGGAAAAATAAGGGAAATATTTTGAATAAAGCTCTTTCCATTTATTGGTTTCCTCTGTGATTGAATCTTTCTATGGATATTATATGAATGATTGTGACTAAATACCTTTCCACATTCATTTATGTCGTTTCTCACCAGTGTGGATCCTCATATGGGAATTAAGAGGACCGCTATGGCTATAGCACTTTCCACACTCCATACATTTATATGGTTTCTCTCCTGAGTGAATCCTTCTATGGGAAGAAAGTGAACTATTTTGACTAAAGCACTTTCCACACTCACTGCATTGATATGGTTTCTCACCAGTGTGGGTCCGCTTATGGCAAGTAAGGTCACTGCAAGTCCTACAGCTCTTTCCACACACCACACATTTATATGGTTTCTCTCCTGAGTGAATCCTTCTATGGGAAGAAAGTGAACTATTTTGACTAAAGCACTTTCCACACTCACTGCATTGATATGGTTTCTCACCAGTGTGGGTCCGCTTATGGCAAGTAAGGTCACTGCAAGTCCTACAGCTCTTTCCACACACCACACATTTATATGGTTTCTCCCCCGTGTGGATCCTTTTATGGGAAGTAAGCTCACGAGTGTCACTAAAGCTCTTTC